GCATATATATTGTGTTAACTCAGTCATGAAGGAGATAAAATTTCTTTCTTTCTTTAAACATTTGCTTTTATCTATATGAAATTTGGCCTAACAGCGACCGGTAGCTACTGGTGTTTCATGACGTAATCCGTACTGTCCCAATTCTCAATTGTTTTGCACACTTGTAACCTGCGCACTTGAACACTTACAGTATGTGCACTTAGACTGAATCCACACTTCACAGAGGGGCGTTGGGCACGCACTGAGCATTGGGACTGGTCCATTGACTGTTRTGTAAATATTGTGTGAGCTGTAATTGTTGTGGTTATTATTCAATACTGTGTTGATTAAAAGCACATTTTGTAAACTTTTATTCAGACATGTTTGCGTTTCACCAACAGTTCGCATCGGAGCCATGCTGGCCTACACGTTACTCGATGAGAAGAGCCTGGCTCTGCTGCTCACTTACCTCCAAGACTTCCTCAAGTAAGCTCCGACTCCCAGCAAAGCTCCAGAGACCACATGACAAGTTAGACTGGTTCTCAAGTGACTTGTTTCCTCCCCTTACACATTAGTGCAGCCATGCTTGTTGAAAATACTTTCAGACATAAGCCATGAAATGGATTTTCCTGCTCGGGAAGTTTTTTTTTTTCTCCTCCTGAAACTCAGTGTGAATGTTGCAGCACACTATAGCAGCCTGTGGGTGGGTAGATTAATTGATTGCATATTTAAAACAGTTTTATAGATCAGACACTGCAGATGACATGAATTATACTTTAACACTGAATAAAATGAAAAAATTAAAAAAAATTTTTTTTTATCAGGACAGAGAGTTGCAGCAGTTTTCAAAATGTGTGCATGAGATATTAGGGTGTGTGTCCTGTTGGAGTTGGTTGCTACATTTTAAATGAAGCTGATTGAAATATCTCCACTCAGTCTTCATCTCTGCAAACATTTGTTTAGCGAGTTGACAACGGCGAAAGCTCGTTTTGTTTGATCTGTCTGCGACATCCATTTCCAGCTGGCCCCACAGTGACGGTCTCTGTCACTCTTTTCCTCTGCAGGTACCTGGTAAAGAATTCAGCCACCCTCTTCAGTGCCAGCGACTATGAGGTYGCACCCCCAGAGTACCACCGCAAAGCTGTGTGAGAGCACTGAGCAACATCACATCACCACGCTGTCAGGTTACAAGAACTTTAAAAAAAAAAGCACTACTACACTTTGGAGTGCAGGCTGAGATGGACTTTGTTCACTTGAACTGATGGATTTTATCCTGAAAAGATCCAAGGGGCTTGTCACAGTTAAGAGATTAAAAAAATCATCTACCTTTTCAATTTTATATCACTTTGAAAGAAAAAAAATGTCAGTCATTTCGACAAGCAGCTTTGTCGTATTTGTTTTTGTGTTCCAGCTGAGGTGCTTGTTACTCTTGCATGTGTGTAATTATTAATGTTTCTTCTACCACATGAGGTGCAACTCAATGCTGGACGACACGGTTGCAGCCACTTACTGATGTTTTTTGTATCTTGTGCATTTGTATCAATTTGTTAAAAAAACAGTTTCTACACATCTTTTTATTGTTTGTTCTGTTTTTCTTGTTAATATCTTGTAAGATACTTGTCCTTCAAAAAAAATGCATTTTTCTAAATGTGACTAACTGATGAACGAAGGTAAACGCAGCGACTCCCTGCAGCCTCGGAGCTCATCAGATGTCAGGATGGATTCTGGAAAATGGGCTTTTCAGTTTTGGCTGACAAGACAGAGAGCAATGGCATTCATTGTTTTAAGCACATATACATTCTTATATAAATGTGTAAAAGTCATCAATTCAAGTCTGTGTTTATGCTGAAAATATAAAACATTTTAAAATTTTAGCAACAATAAATGTTGAACTAATTGGGATATGTCTTTATTTAAGGTTGTCACAACACAACACTATTCATACTGTAAATTCATGTCATGGTAAATATCAATAAGTGATAATGACTGAATCAATAAACTCAGCAAGAGAAGGTAAACTGTTCCCATTTACCTCAGCTGGATTCAGAAAGCTGAACACACAACCAGCTGAATCAGAACTGAGTGGAAATTGTTCTGTAGGGATGTAACAAAAGAGGGGCCATAGTGGGCAATGACCACCTGTAAAAAAAGATGCTAAAATATAAAGTCCTACATTACATACAGTAGATTATATGCTAATCTCTGCTGTCTTTAAGGAGGGTTCTGTCAGAGGTAAATGTATGAGGATCATTTGCTCAATCTAATTTCAACCTTAATGTTATGTTTGKACGAATGTTACATATTCTTGCTGACTAAATGCAAAGACTTCAAATGTTTTACAACTAATTTACTGTTAAAATGCTAARTATGATACATTTTCTGTACAGCCCTATGGGTAAAAAAGCACAAGCTTTTTCTGATGGGTTAGCAGTGACCATACCTCCCTGAATATGCCAGGTTTAGGCTGAGCCTGGATGGGAGACCACTTGGGAACAACAGTGTAGGAGGATGGCAAGAAAAAAAAATTGTATCAGTCAAGAAATCTCTAATTCCCTGGTTCAGTAATATTTGCATACTAAGATGCTTTTGGCGCACTATGTAAGGCTTTTTTTTTCAGAATCAGTTTTATTACCATTGTCACCTAACAGGATTCACAGATTTGCTTTGGTGTAAAGGTGCCATAAGTATAAAATATAACAAATAAAGAAAAATACAAAGGATAAATGGAAAAAATAGTGAAATTTATGAAACACATGTACACCAGTTCAATACAGTGATCAGAGCAGACGGTACAGTTGGAGTAGTGCCGTTAGATCCAGTGATAAAAGTGAGCAGAAAAACAATAATGAGAGGAGAGGCAGCATAAAGCTCAAAAACAGCATGAAGATGCAAAGTTATCTTAAACTTTGGTTCATTTCACACTGCATTCTGCACACACGCTCATACACACACACTTCTTGTCCACCATTGTTTGGAGCCAGAGAACAACCCCAGGGTGGTACACAGTCAGTATTTCACCATATGCTTGCTCGTATCTTCCAGCCTTAGTTCAGAAGTGCAGAAGGTCTCCATGGCATCGTCTCCATGGCATTGTGTCCAGGGCAACGTTGTTGCCATGGAAATGTGGACAAARGAAGAGGGGCACGTTCAAGTGCTCAAAGCATTTAGTTAAATATTTCCTGAAAGTAACCAAGAGCACACAATAWAACACAATAAAGCATAGAAATATGGTGTTGCATCTTCACTCATTTAAATTTAGACTTAAAGAAGAAACATCTGCTTACACCGTCTACTGACTAAGTTAGGTGTGTGAAAGTTAACAGTCTCAACTAGTAAGACTAATTTTCTGCCTTAGTTTACCAACTGAATGAWACAGATGTCCATGAAGTCTGAATAATGACATGTTTACTCCTTTTAAACTGTGAGTCAGCCGCTAGAGGGCAGTATTGCACACATTAGTTTCAACCTGCTACATTGTGGATATGTTTCAGTTATATAAAGAGTAATAACCCTAGATTTATATTAAAAAAATGACCCTAGAATTTAGGAATGCAAACACAAGATGTATAGTGGCAGGCCAAAAGTAAAAGAAAGTCATTTTTGTTTTGTTTTGTACCAATAATTAGATTTTCAATCATTATCCAAGGCTTGCTGAATAAATAAACATCCTGATCGGTAAATCAATGTGTCTTGTCAGCTGGACTTTTGGACATTTATCTTCTGGTTTAATACAACTTGTTTTGTAATATTGTTCATTAATTACATTTTAAAATATCCTTCAAAAATGACAGATGTACAGTATTATATAGGTTTATCTATTTTATAGGCAGCAAAAAAGTAAAAAAAAAAACAGCATCAGCAGTAAGACAATCATTCTGCTTGACTGAGGTAAACATAAATGTGAGGTAAATGTCAAATGTGTGACTTTAAGAATGATAGCTATTTTACACAACAGTGATAAAAACATTCTTCCAAATGTTTAATCTGGATAAGGATATGACTTATTAGGCCTACATAGAGTCACTAGTTTTGTTCGTGTTTAGGTCTCTAATAAATCTTCTTTTAACAATCCTGTCTTGATTTTCTCATTTTACCTTCAAAACAAAACTACTGTCTCAGCTGGCGTTTGTTTTTCTAGTTGCTTTGTAGGCTATCCACCCAATAGAATCACTACAAATTGTACTGCTACACCTAAGCATCAGTTTTAAGTATTATTTATTTTGTTTTTATTTTTAAAAGTTTATAATATTACACTAATACATGAGTTAGAGAACCTGGGATTTTATTGTGAAAGTCTGTCATACAGAGCCACAGCTTTAGTGACACTTTACATGGTAATGTAAAATAATATATACTTTTCTTCATGTGATGTGATAAGTTGATTACATTAAAGTATTTGCATTATGTTAAGGAGTTATTCGTAATTTTCTTTCGTTGGCCGCAGCTGTAGTTCCGGTTTTCAGGTAAACCTGTTTCCTCTGTCCCAGGACGCCTCCAGTTTTCCCCAGCGGCGCTTCTAGTTCACAAGGAAATCCCGCCCCTTCTGACATCCCATTGGTTCAAACCGCAAGCGACCGCGCGTGCTCTAGATTGATTCGCTCAAAGACCTTCAATCAAAGTGTGACCAYAGTGTGCGTGCGGTGGTTCAGCGTCAGGTGAAACTTGGACTGTAAAGAGAAGAGAAGGGATCAAAGTTAACTTTATCGAAACTTTCAGGGAAGTGTTGCTTCTTCTTTATGAACGTCTGCGCCTAAGGATACTTTTAAGCGTCAGCAGCCGACACTTTACAAAGATGAAGAGCCTCAAGTATCGATTGAAGAAGCACGAAGTTACCATCACAGTGAGTTAACTTCTTTTTAGTTTTGCTAATACCCCGTGTTGAAGAAGGATAACACCACATTTCTTCGTGTTTTCATTCACGGGTGTATTAATAATGGTAGCCCCGGCCTCCCGCTCTAAGCCCCACATCTCGTTCCCACGGTGGTGGTGGTCTGTTTGGGAAACAGAGCAACTTTAAAACACCTGCAGCTCTGGGCGCGAAACCTCGTCCTTCTTTACACCCGCACCGAAATCAGGTTCAGGTTTTCTGAGCTAGCTGCTCCACATTCAGCTCTATTGTTGTTGACAAACAAAGCAATGTTAAATCAGTACTGTAAAGTTTCTCAGGCTCTTATCACATCACGAACAGAGGCTTCTTTGTGGTTTATCTGCAAACCCTTGATTCAGTCAGACCTTTATGCACAAACAACAGCAACAGGTTGAAACTAAAGGAATGACTATTTGTTTTTGGTGTTTACGAACATATTGTCCTAAAAATGCATTTTGTTATCATTAAGATTATGTTTGAAGCTTTGCAGCTGCTGAAATGTCTTGTTATATTAATATTATGTGTGTGTAGTGTCTATGTAAACCAAWATGCTTAATATAATGGAGTAAGGTGACAACCGCACTAGTTCTTGTGTGTTTATGTTTGTTGACATTGTAAAAAGTTTCTGTTTCAGTACACATTCACTAGAGTAAACATGTCTTATTACTGCTATTTAAACATGTTTAACATTCTTGTTCAAAAAGTACTAAACTTTATTTTGAAAAAAAAAAAAAAAACACTAAACGGATTCATAATATTTAATTTCCATTACTGTATTACTCCAGCTTTTGATCTTCTTTAACACAAACCTAATCCACAAATAAACTTGATGAACCTCTCCTTTAGGTTGCACTGTTTTTCGTGGCATCATGTTCTTTCAAAGTAAGCCCGGATCAAAACACAACAAATTTATAGAAACATAAAATCTTGACATTTCCGAGGAACTTGTAACAATCCATCAGGATTTCTTAGCACCGAGGATGCACACAAGTCCTCCCAGGAATGTTACAGTCTTCTTTTGTACTGGATGTAAATCTTTGTACATAAATTATGGTGGAAAAGAACGTCACTTAAAAATACCATTAAGACAGAATTGCCTGTTTACACTCCATCTGTGGCCTTTAGACGCAACTTATTCATCAGTAATTACAATTCTGTGCAGTTCGGCATAAAGTGGGTGTTTGGCACTGCGTTCTGTTTTCACCTCCCAATAATTACCATGAGAAAGGCTGGGAGCCCTTCTATGTGGTTTAACTGTCAGACCCTCTCCCCATTTTAGAGAGAAAAGACGCCTTTCAGGACTGAAGTGGTATTTTATCCGCAGTGATGTTTGTCCTGCGCCCTCAGAGAGTAGAGACGTTCTCTTAAAATAGAGTAAAGCAACCTTCTTATTTCCCTGAATTTTTTTCTGGTGACCTCAGCGAAAGTTGGAGGTGCCCCGAAAGCAGTGGTGACATTTGTTCAGGACTATGTGATGATTTCACAACGTAGTATTCTCTCCTGAGGAGGCCGATACATAAAGGACACCTGAAGTGAAGTGAAAATGTGGCACACAAGCTGAACTGAAAGTACTTTGAAATAATGTTGAACATCCTTTAAGATCAATGATGTCAAAGATAAAAACCTAGTTGTTCGTCTTTGCAACGTGGGTCACATGCTTGACCCCAAAACCGTTGATGCAGCTCATAAAGTGTCAGTTATGAAGATGTCAAGTGACAGACATTAATGTTTATGGAAAATGTTTTGCATAAAATTGTTGCTTTTATTTACGTAGCAGCTGCAAGGTTAGCACTTCTTGTGAGGTGAGGTATTATTTGGAATAAGAAATGCATTTTTCAAGTAGGAGTGGTGAGAGCAGAAAAAAAAAAGCTTTTAGTACAAGAACAAACTAGGAGATTTCATGAAACAGTTCTGGGACACGACTAAAAATTAGCCATTTTTTTAGAGCTGTTCAGAAATCACCAATCCAGCCGCCTGCCTGTCACCAGGATGAATGCTTCCATCATGAAATCTGAAGGATTTCCTCTGAC